TCTCTCTCTCTCTCTCTCTCTCTCTCTCTCTCTCACTATGTGTGTGTGTGGGTGGGTGTGGGTGGGTGTTTGAGTCTCTCTGAGTCTCTGAGATTGCGTCTCTTGGCAGTCATCATGTCCTGATGACGACCGTCCCAGTATTAACCGTTGGCGAAGCTTTGGCCAAGGATTAGCTGTTGAAGTCCGGCGAAGTAGAAAGGCAGCTACTAGCTATACATTCTTCGGGACCGCAACTGAACTGGTTTGCTTTCACCGAGGATTGGCTGTTGAGTCGAACTCTGGTTAACCCTGCAGGCCCTCCGTAGTCTGGTCCCAGCCAAAGTCCCACTCAAAGTCAATTGCTCTTTGACTTTTAACTGAACCCAATGTAACAGTTGTGCTGTACGGCACCACTCGCAGACTATAGCACAGACTATAATAATTGTGCTATAGCCTTACGACAGGCACGCACAAGCTCACATAGGGGTTCAGATAGGCTGTGCATACTCGTCGGCTATAGCACAGACTATTGTGTTCCTTAGGACAGTGACTATGCACTGACTACTTGGCACAAACTCTGAGGAGGAGGAGGAGGAGCAATCTGTGATCATCGTGCCAAGGCACTCAGATAGGTCCTACTATGCACGGCGCGGGAAATGCCTCAGGCTGGCTTCACAGATAGTACTTGCAATGGCAGGTTGTACTGCGCCCCAGGCAGAACATGCCGGGCTTCACAGAGAGTACTGAGTAGGTCCTACTCTGTACGACATAGGAAATGCATCGCTTCACACGCACACTACTGGTAGTACTACACACAGTGTACACAGGGTACACAGGCTACTAAATGACTTGCAGCTCGCAACAGTGCTCAATGCACGACCTCTGTGTCATTAACTTGCAGACCCCTTGCAAGGGCAGGGGGTCATTAAATAGCAGACCCGTCTTGACAGGGTCACTCACAGAGTGACTGTCAGCTGACGTCAGTCGCTGACAGTCACGCCCTTGAAATCTCACAGAGGTCGTCAAGCACCGTCATGACGCCATCATGACGCCGGCATGGCGGGCACTGCTGCAGTAATCTGATCAGACAGTAGTACTATGCAGTAGGTAGGGACTGGGCTAAGCAGCCACGGACTGCGATTCCGATTAGACTTTACCTGCGATAAGCCGGATGAGCGCTGATGAACTCACAAGAATCCCAAGTATAGTTGCAGAGCTTGATATCCGAATTGCCAACCATGAGCTCGAACTGCACTCCACTCGGGGTTCGGCTGGAATAGCCAGATAGCCAGATAGCCAGAAAGCCAGAAAGCCAGGTCATCATTGATGAACTTGAAGAACTGCAAGCACATTTGCTGAGCATCATAGCCGCTGTCCATGAGCTTGAACTGCACTGGAATAGCCAGATAGCCAGATAGCTATGAATATAAGAGCTCAGAGCCAAGCCACTTGCCCGGATGGCCGGATGGCCGAGCTTAAACTGCCGTTGCCTCTCTGGTTCTTGTGCTGGAATACCTTTACTCTTACCAGATAGCCAGTAAAATAGCCGGATAGCCCGATAGCCAGATAGCCGCTGGAATACTGTCATAGCCAGACATCCACTCAGATAGCCGGATAGTCGCTAAGTACAATATCCAGAGGCACTGATAGTTGTCTCCTCTTCTGCTGGGATAACCAAGTACTCGCCGGCAAGTCCGAACTCTACCATAGACATTCAGTTTGGCAAATCTGAACAATAGTCATCACGATGGCCATTCGTCCTGGCTTACAATGAGATGCTCTCATTCCCCTCTTCACTTCCCACTCGGCTATAGAGTGCGCTAGCTAGGTCGCCAAATAGCCAGATAGCCAAATAGCCAGCTAGCCAGATAGCGAGATCGCCAGCTAGCCAGCTAGCCAGATTGACTTATAGCCAGATAGCAAGATTGACTTATAGCCAGGTAGCCAGATAGCCAGTGACTTCAAGTTATAGCCAGATACCCAGATAGCCGGATAGCCGGATAGCCAGATAGCCAGATAGCCAGATAGCCAGATAGCCAGATAGCCGCTCGAACGTACGGGTTGACCCAACTTCGGCAATCCAACAGCACCTTTCCTTACCGGCCTCCCTTGGCCTTGGCCTTCGATGCAGCCGGTTCCATGCCGCCGCCTCTGTCCTCGTATGCCTCCGTCGTTAGATCAGGATGACATCGTAGGGGCAAAATGGATTTGAAAAAAGGACCCCATCTGAGAATTGACCGGGTTGGCAGATGTGCATTGCGCACCGTTACTCGGCTTGGTAGCGGGGTGGCCTCCGTGTGTGTGTGTGTGTGTGTGTGAAGAAGAGCACACTCTTCAGAGTCTTCACAAATCGAAATCGGCAGCGCCGCCTTTCCCCTTCTTTCTCCTCCCTTTCCCTTGGGCCAAGCGCCGCGTCCACCACCTCTCCCACCGCTCGCTGAAAATGCACTCCGTCAGGTAACCGGAAGGAGGCCAAGGTCGCATCACACAATAGGACTTTGTCGAGCGAATGTGGGCGCGATTTTGGCTGGATACATGAGACCGAAACTCAGAGTGTAGGTGGGGGGCCATTTTGCCTTCCAGAATAAAATCCAGAAGCTTCTCGTGTGTGTGAGTGAGTCCTCGTTGGCCGAACGAAGACCATGTGTTGCCACGCCTCGTGGGCATATAGCAGTTCTATGTGCGAAGGGCTTATAGGCCGTACGTACGTACGTACGCACATAGTAGTAGCAAGTGCTATGTACATAGTCATTGCTAAGCACACATGACTGTGTGTACTACCCTCCCACCCTCCCTCTTCTCTCCCTTTTATTACTATCCTAATTACTTTGACAAACTGATGATGGCTGTGCTTGATTTGACTAAAAGGGATCTACATTTGACAGATCCCATCATCATCATCATCATCATCATCATCATCGTGGCAATAAAGATGATAACAACAACAATGAAAGTATCCAACGAGCTCTCACATCATGGGGCTCGCTGCACTACTCTTGAAATGTGCAAAACGAGAGTGAATCTTCCGATAGAATATGGAAAGATACGTGGCCATGATTTTTGTCTTTTGTGCATGTCAAGAGTAGTGCAGCGAGCCCCCATGTCCGACCAGCTCCGCATGAGAAGAGAGAGACTTCTGATCTTCGCCATAGGGATCCTGGTCGGAGTCGGAGTCGGAGTCGGAATCGGGATCCAGATGGGTATCAGGATCGCTATCGAGCGAGCATCCGCTCGGCAAGACGGATCAATCACGTGTAGGCACCGCCACGTGTCATCTTCGACACGTGTCATCATCGCCACGTGTAATCTTCAATCACATCCAAGCAGCAGTCTACATATTACAAGCCGCTGCGCTGGGCGCACGTGAGTATAATCACATACGAATTTTTCAAATGAACACGTGGCAAGGAGACAGACAGACACGTGGCGATAACGTCGTACGGTATTGACATGAATAACGTCAACCTCCCAACGACGAAGACGAGGACGAAGACAGGGAGGAGGAGGAGGAGGAGGAGGAGGAGGAGGAGGAGGAGGAACAAGAGAAGAGCCCGCGCACTTGACGACAGGCTTTCGCTGTTCTCTCTGCTCCTGTGCTTTTGTAAAGCGCGTGATACCCTTCTTCCCCCGAATAGAACGTACGGTCATTTTCGCTGCATCTGGACTGAAAGGTGAGTCAAATACGACTAGAATGACGGGGTACGTTCTATTGGGAGGAAGACGGGCGACGCGCGCTGCTCTCTCCCACTCTCCCACTCTCTCTTGTTAACCCAGCGCCTCCCGCGCTCTCTTCCTGAGGACTAATCTCTCCTCTCGTCTCCGCTCACCTCCTTTCGTCTCCTCTCCTCTCCCATCGAGAGGACCAGGGATCGAGGATGACAAGAAACAGCACGTGGAATAGCACACTGGGCATTAGGTGGGAGAGGAAAGATGCATCTACCACGCTGACGAGGAGGAGGAGGAGGAGGAGGAGGAGGAGGAGGAGGAGGAGGAGGAGGAGAAGCTTTCCTCTTCCTCAAG